CCTACTTACATGATTGTGGGAAAATTCAATTATCAGTCCTTCAGCAGTTTAATGAAATATGGTGAATACATTCTATAACTTAATTTTGTTTTACCTGTTCATTGGAAAAGGCGGTTGGGAGTGTTTTATTAATGTGCCCATCCGGAAAACGTTGGAAGATCGAAATGTCTTTTGGCGTAATAAGTTCCTCGACGCATCTTTCGCCATCATCGTAGGGTATTGTCATTGAGCCGTGACTAGATTTGCGCGACTCAACTCGACTCGACTCGGTTTTGCGACCCCGATGAATCCTTGCTGACCTTTCGTCTGTCACGTGACCTACATTGTCAGAGCAGGACACCATACAGAATTGCTATGATGCCTGTAAATTCTTCTACTGACAACTCCGATGCTGTAAGTGAACATGACCATTCTGATAGCATGCATGCCGAGTTAGCCGCAAACGAGAACAAGTCTGCGATCAAATTAAGCAGCTAAGCTTGAAAGCATCTCTTAAACGTAATATTCATTTTTAAGTAAGCTTTCAAAACTACTCGTATATCATAGATTCACCCTATTTCGTTACGGTGCTGAAGGACTGGTCGTTGAATGTTCCCACAATGATATGTGAAGGTGTGACGTTTCCATTGGACTTCACATAGCCTTACTAATACGAATGAATTCTCATCCAAACTCGACTGGACTGCAGTTTCAACCTACCTTATTTTCTTCAGCATCCCCAGCACGACTCTAACCATGACAGAACAGTCGCAGTCTCCTTTAGCATTCTAGTGTTGGTTCGACCTTGTTTTCGCAACTTGGTCGCAGCGTCAAGGAGACCGTATGCAACCGAACCTGTCTCATCTGCTATAATATTCGTAATTTCTAGCATCGGCTCATTGGCTTGGTACATTTCTAAAAAGTGACGAGTGAATGCAATCCGCTTGACCAATTTTCCGTTCAACCCTTGTGGCATCATTCTTCGCCCCTATTTTTTCTTCATCCTTCTACTCTTACATCTGCCTATATGAAGTGGGGTTGAGAGAAAAAGATGCAGCCATGACCCAAAAGCCCTGCAAACGGCATCTGGAGCCGCGTGTGAAGATGATTACATTTCACTAAATCTAGTTGTAGAGACACACTCTGATGCGACATTGGAGGAAAATCGAGCACAAAATTGTGTGAATAGGTAGATGGGCCACATGAATTGGGTTTGAGAGAAAGAGATTAGAAGCTATAACAAAAAGTAGGCACGAAAAATGGTGCCACAACAGAAAATTGGTCATTTGTCACTTTGATAACTCTGTCCTAACAATGGCGGCTCTCGTTGACGATGCCGGCGAAACGTTTGGGAATGTGCCAAGTCAATGTTCCGACGCTGGAAATCACGAATACTCTGCCACATGACGCAGGACTATGTTCGCTCCACAAGGTCTCCCTGACACACCTATCAAGTCGCGCAAACGAGGTCGAACCAACACTTGCACTTTTTGTTATTATTTTTTATTACCGATTGTCATTCTAGAATCAGCATTAGCTTTGTGGGTCTAATCCAAATCCATCGTTGATGACCTCCAAGTCCATGTCTGTTCGGGGTTTCTGGGGTCGTCTGGGGGCCACAGTGGTTAGCTTGTCCCCTCAAAGCTGGCGGCTATTCGTCAAGAATGCTCGCTTTTGGCCAATATGACACGAATTTTGATGCAATCGGTATGCCTTTTTTAATCTCGACTCCTTCACCTTCTCTGCCCTCGTCAGCGTCTGGCCTCGAGTCCCGCTCATCAGATGGCCAGCGGAACGGTACAGTGCCCACGGGGCAACCGTCCGCCAATCGGCGAGCAGACCGCGGCGTCACTCCTTCCGGACAGTGAGCTCGGCCTGCCCACGCCTGCCCACCAGACCGCAGCTGCCAGTATCCTCTCCTCGGACGGCGTCGGCGTAATGCCCAAGATGCTGGTCGGCTTGCCCGACCTCGAGCATCTCGGCCTGCCGCCGGCTCTGAGTCCCGCCTCGCCGACTCGGTCTGCTCCGTTGGTCTGTCTCCCCGAGGACCTCGATCACCCCACGGTTTCTACAGTTCCCATTCTTCCTTTACAGACTTTTCCGCCGTCTCGCCGTCCGAACGAACGGCCACAAGATCAGCCTTTCGACTTGAGTTGCCGGCGAAAGCGGACCGACCGCGACCCGGAGCCTGAGGGGACCGAGGCGTATGAGGTCGCTTCTGCCGGCGGTCTTTGGCAACGAGTCAGCCTGCAGAAGCGACCTGCCCCAGTTAGCCTAATCAGAACGGCAAGACCTCCAGCTTCCAAGGAGCTGGCCTATCATACGCCTCACAGCCACACTCCCGACAGCCACGTCGGCGATTGCCGCTTGCCCATCTCCGAGGGCCACGCCACCACAGGCCAGTTTCCCGAGGATCCGACACTCGCCATCGCGGCAGGCGAGGCAAGCGACGACCACATGAGGATTCAAGAGGTGATGCCCGATTCCGAGGCTGAGACTTCAGAAGCAGTTTTGCTGGAAACTTCACAAAGTCTCAACATCCTCGGCAGAGGTTTTCGTCAAATGTCATTTGTTGGAACAGCCTTCAAAGCAAGTCGGGCCGATTGGAGACAGCCAAGCAGCTTTAAGCCGAAGGAGGAGGGGGACGAAAATGAAATTAGTAGAATGGAGAAATTGTGGCCGAATGAGAAAGAAGTAAGACGAAATGGCAAAAATGAAATGGATGCCCACGCTGCTGATGCCGACGATGACGATGACAACGACCACACTGATGGTGGTGGTGATGATATTGATGATGATGATGATGGTGATAATGATGGTGATGAGGAGGAGGAAGAAGAGGAGGAGGAGGAAGAGGAAGAGAATGTTCTCCTCGAGATTGTGGAGAACCTCACCAGCCTTGTCGAGTCGACGGCATCTTCTATTCAACCTCCGGCTCCTCCGATCGTCACAACAACGACGAATCATGCCGCCGACGTAGACATGACAACAGTTCAAGTCACTGGTGTACCTAATTCGTCTGACTATGCTCTGGTGAGGCTGGCTTCTGCTGTGATCAGGCTGGCTGTGGCGCGGATCCAGCCGGGGTCTGTAGAAGCCGAAAAACGCATCAGACGAACGTCAACGCCGGGCGGCGCGGAGTACGACAGAAGTGAGACAACCTTTAACAAAGCAAAACGTGCCGAGGAAAGAGAGCCGAAACGCAGAGAACAAGGCAAGATAAGGCGACTCGAGGATTCGGAAGAGAAGGCCAAGAAGGAAAGAAAGAGTACACTCGGGACTAGGACCCAACCGAAAGATGAGAAGAGAGAAAGAGAGAGAGAGAGAGAGGAGGAACGTGAAGCTGCTGGCGACTCAAGCGGTTGTTCCAACGAGGAGAACAGATTTTTACCTGAAAAAAAGCCTCGATTCAGGTGAGCTTCTCTTTTATACCTTTTAGGGATTTTTTGCCACCAAATACTTGATGGGACCAGGCGGTGTTGCTATATCGACTACCACATTCTGTACCTTATGACTAGGCAAATCTGGAGTCTCATGAGTGTTTTAGAACATTTAAATCCTCAATTGAAAAAAATGAGCTGATATCAAAACTGTAAGTTTTTGGTTTTTGTTGGAACGGGTTCAAGATCTGGCGAAGCTCGACTCGTTTTCACCGCAACCGAGAGTGGGTCTTTTGGGAATGTCTGGAGACCAGGCTTTTATCACATTCGTCTTATTGTGAGATCAACTTATGCATCTGCTCATCAAACACTCATTCACCATCACACGCTTTGTCGGCCGACCCTATTTTGTTTTGGAGATGTGCCGGTTTTAACAGGTTTCTTGCAGTGAATTGACTCGAATGCTTAAAGTTTACGTTGCTTAGCAAAGTGCGGTCCTAATTCAATATTGTTCTCGGCTGGATTCGAACCATAGGTTGGATAGGCCTCTCAGGGCGCACAATTTTACACTATTTCATGGAGCATTTTGTACTGATCTGCTTATTTTGCTGTCATGAGCCTGATTTGGCTACAGTTATATTAGATTCACACATTTTACTGATGGATGAACGGAGAGAGATGCTTGATTTCGTGTTGATGTCAATTCTTTTGACCTATTTGATAAGGGATCGAGATCGGCATACCTCGTCACTAATAACTATCCTCATCATGGCATCAACTATCATTAGATCTAAAGTAGCATCTTCGATTATGCTATTCGAATAGGACTAGCAACTACACCATTGAAATTCGTCCAACGTAGCCTTCCAAAAGCGTGCTCATCCAGACTTGACTGCAGTTTCTTAGTCGCCTTATCATCTTTCATGCATTTACACAGTCTTGAGCGAAATACGCTGGCTCCTCTTCTCGCTATCTCAATTCTACCGAGTTTACTGTCAGACAATCACAATGAAGTGTCCCAGCAAATGCTGATGAGCTTGCTCTTCTTTTACTTTCCATCAGAAGGCAGCGACAGATTCCTCTTGGCCAATTGTCGTTGGCTCCAGTTCTGAAGTTTCTCCATTGTACGCTTTTGACTCTAATTTGACAGATATCATTTTATAGTCATAATTGAGTAGG